CTGGTGTCCAGGGAAGCCCCAGCCCCTCCTGGCCCGGCCCCCTCTTAAGCTCCCCCCCTTAGCCTGAGGGGGTGACTATGTAGCCTCCTTCTGTGGCTTGGGCTGGGGAGCCAGCCCTCCCCAGGGTGCACTGGGGTAGTGACTGCGTCAACAAGAATTCGGGCCATCAGGTGACCTGTTTTAATTGCAAGGGGATGAGACAAGAGCATCTTCTCCTACCACTGGGGACGGCAGCTGGCCAGGTGGAGCCTGGGGCACAAGTCCCTCTCAGCCCCCCAGCTGAAGGAAGTAGCTGACCGAGGGAGGAAAGGAGGAGGCTGGAGCCTCCTCCCAGCAGGCTGGCCCTGCCCATGCTAGGCCCCAGTCCTACCCTTATCCTAGCCTGCTCCCTGCAAACCACTTAGCCTGCTTCCTTTTGTGGCCACCTGGCCATAGCATTCAGCTAAATGAAGACAGGCTGAGTCATTGAGAGTGCCCTGTGGCCAGCACTTGAACCTACCACCTTGGCATGATTAGAGTGAGCCAGCCCACAGCAAACAGCCTTGTAAATGGCCCTTTTGGAAAGGAGCCTTGGGTAGCTGCAGGGATCATAGAACACTAGGACTGGAAGGGACCTCAAGAGGTCAGAGTCCAGTCCCCTGCCCCCATGGCAGGACCAAATACTGTCTAGACCATCCCTGATAGACATTTATCTAACCTACTCTTCAATATCTCCAGAGATGGAGATTCTACAACTGCCCTGGGCAATTTATTCCAGTGTTTCACCACCCTGACAGTTAGGAACTTTTTCCTAATGTCCAACCTCAACCCCTCTTGCTGCAGTTTAAGCCCCATTGCTTCTTCTCCTGTCCTCAGCGGCCAAGATGAACAAGTTTTCTCCCTCCTCCTTATGACACCCTTTTAGATACCTGAAAACGGCTCTTATGTCCCCCCTCAGTCTTCTCTTTTCTAAACTAAACAAACCCAATTCCTTCAGCCTTCCCTCATAGCGCATGTTCTCTAGACCTTTCATCATTCTTGCTACTCTTCTCTGGACCCTCTCCAATTTCTCCACATCTTTGTTGAAATGGGGTGCCCAGAACTGGACACAAGACTCCAACTGAGGCCTAACCAGTGAAGAGTAGAGCAGAAGAATGACTTCTCGTGTCTTGCTCACAACACACCTGCTAATGCATCCCAGAATCATGTTTGCTTTTTTTGCAACAGCATCACACTGCTGACTCATATTCAGCTTGTGGTCCACTATAACCCCCAGATCCCTTTCCGCCATGCTCCTTCCTAGACAGTCACTTCCCATTCTGTATGTGTGAAACTGATTGTTCCTTCCTAAGCGGAGCACTTTGCATTTGTCTGTATTAAACTTCATCCTGTTTACCTCAGACCATTTCTCCAATTTGTCCAGATGTTGTGGGCTCTGGAACAAGGTGGGTGGGGCAGGAGACCTGCATATAGGTGGGGGAATTAGCTTAAGTGGCAGAGGGCTTGCTTAGCATACAGAAGGCAGTGGAATCAATACCACATTCTCCAGTGATGGGGAATCCCCATTTCTCTGCTCACAGGCAGAGCCAGCCTGGGGGATTGAGCGCTTCTAGTGCTCATTCCCTGAAACCCACTAAGCCCCAACCCTCTCTTCCCTTCAAGATTTGTGCTTAAAAAACAAAAGTGAATCTGGGTAATTTTCTACTGGAGTGCCCACCTTGTGCTAGACCAAGATTCACACAGCAGTTTGTTTTCTGAGGCTCTGTACCTCCTGCACCCCTAGAGACGCTGGAACAAAAAAGCACTTGGGAAGAACCCAATTTTCTTTCTTTCTTTCTTTCTTACATTGAAAATTAAAACCAGATTCGCATTCAAGAATGATACAGACACACAAAGAGGATACACCAATTCCGCAGGCCGTAAGTGTCAGATTGATCTGTTACATGAGGTATTGAGTCAAAAGCATCTTTGGGTTATGCATGTGCATATTCAGAAGCCAAATTTCATAAAGCCTAGGGAGGCTATGAGAGGGGGCTCCTCCTAACTGTTGCTGTGTTGTGATGCACCATACAATTCCACCACCACACTAATGGCATGTCTACACAGCAGGGCTAATGCTGAATTAAGCAACGCAACTCGTTAATTGCAGAGCCGAAGTCGAAATTGCTTAACTCGGCTTTTGGCACTGTCTGCACAGCAGGAGGGAGTCTGAGAAAGAGCTCTCTTCCTCCAACTTCCATTACTTCTCCTAAAATGTAGACGCGGACCATGTTATTTCAGAATAATGTTAGTTACTCTGAAATAACGCTGCTGTATAGATGTCCACTTGGTGGAGGTTCCCGGGCCAGCTGCCTGCTGCTGAATTCCCACAGAGCTCTGCCAGCCAGGGGTTGTGGGACCTGGCAGGGAACCCATTCATAAATTGTTAGAAACAACGCACTGTTAGGTCTTGTCAGATAGGCTACTACTCAACATGACTTTTACTACTTACCAACATATTTTCCCATGTAATAACACCACATGATTGGGTAACAAACCGTTGTAATTACACTTCATTCAGTGAGCAACCAAAAAAGGAAGGCAAATATTTCTGAAGGAAATTTTAGGAGGAAATTATTTATTATTACAGTAACACATCCCTGTGTTTAAAAACTAGGAAAAACACATGGCATCAGCAGGGCTCATGCCGAATTAAGCAATGCAACTTGTCAACTGTGGAGCTGAAGTCAAAATTGCTTAACTCGGCTTTTGGCACTGTCTGCACAGCAGGAGGGAGTCTGAGAAAGAGCTCTCTTCCTCCAACTTCCATTACTCCTCATAAAATGAGAGTTATAGGAGTCGCGTCCTCCAGCTTGACATTATGTCGAAATAACGACTTGCTGTGTAGATGCGCCACCTAGATTCCAGCAGACTGGATGAAACACAGATGAATCCATCACAAGCTAATTTTAGGGCATTTCTTCTCAAATAATCAAGGTAAGTTTAGGGCTCTGCTATGAATGGTGTATTGGGAATCAATCTTCAGATTTGAATTCTTGCATCAAAAATGCTCATCACGCATCACGTTGAAAGTAACAGGTAGGCCTAGCAATGCCATGTGCCTCCCACAGCCAGCTCTTCAAGAAATGCGCTTCAGTCACTGATTTGAAGGCATCGGGCCAATCAGTCACTACTATGCTTCAGTCACTGATTTGAAGGCATCGGGCCAATCAATCAATCACTACTAAAACAGAGCCTTCTAGATAGTGGGGGACAGAACCCAGAGGAATTGTGATGAATTTCTTGGAGCAAATTTATCTCTCGGCCCTCAAAGGGCGTGTCTATATAGCAGGCCTAAAATCAAATTAAGCTGCACAACTTCAGCAATATCAATTGTGTAGCTGAAGTCGAAATAACTTAACTCGCCTTTTGGCGCTGTATACGCAGCAGGAAGACAAAGGAAGAGCACTCTCCTTTCGATTTCCCTTACTCCTTGGCTACATCTATACTACTCCCTTGCACAAAAAAATATGCACGAGGCAAAACGTGGAATATTGCCGTGCCTCATCTGCATAATTAATGAAGGTCCATTGTTCCACAAGAGGCTTTTTCTCAAAAAGAAGCCGTCTACACTCTCTTGTTCAAGAGGGAGTTTTTGCACAAAATGGAGCAGTGTAGACCACTCTTTTTTGCACGAAAGCCTCTTGCACAAAATAGAAGCCTCATTAATTATGCAAATGGGGCATGGTGATATTCCATGCTTTGCCTCATTTGCATATTTTTTGTGCAACAGAGGACAGCGTAGGCCCTGATGAAATGAGGGTTACAGGAGTTGTAGTAAGAAGTCCTCCAGCTCAACATTATTTTGAAATAGCGGCTTGCTGTGTAGACAAGATCGTTATTTTGGAATAACGCCAGTTATTCCAAAAGAACACTGCTGTGAAAATGTACTCTAAACGTATGACAACAAATGTATCATCCTTTCGACTGATTTATGGCTGGGAAGAAAGCAAGCTTCACCAAACTCCATGGTGTGTGTCATTATGTGCCAGCATCTTCCATACAATTACGTTAATTTGTGATGACTCAGTAAAAGGATCCCTTCTCTATTTTGTCACCAAACTACATTTGTTGTGTCTTTATATCCAAGGACACAAACAGCCCGAGGCTGCACTGAAATCGACAGTGGACACTGACAGTACATTGGCTACAAATACAATTTCTAAAGAAAAATAAACTAAAAATAGGATATTGCAGCAGAGATTTCTATGGTGAGGAAGACAGGATGTGAGATTGGGGACTGTGTGGTATTAATTGATGCAGGAGCAGGCAAGGAGGGGCCATGTCTTGATTACCAATGATATGCAGCTAGAAAGTTGAAAATTGCATGAATTAATGTTCAAAGAATGTTACAAAATTGTGTGAATCTAACAAGATTGGTTAATTCATTCTGTGGTTTTTTCACCTATGAGTGCTCAAAGGTGCAGTGCAGGTGGTGGTGGTGGGGGGGGTCTATAAGTCTTTACAGAGAGAGCCTGTCAAGGCAAGAGAGCGAGGGAGCAGCCGCACATATGTGTCACTGAACAGTGCAATAATTAATTGGGTTTTGGATAAATGTTTTGGATTTCTTGAAGTGCTGCAGCTGACATACAAAGGATGTACACAAATGTAAACACATCAAATGCTGATATTGATGTGAGGGAAGAATAAAGGTCAATAATTCTATTTCTAAGAATAGATTTTTTTATAAAAAGCTGCTGAAATGTAAAGGAAAAGGTTCTTGTGTGGACACCTTGTTATAACAACAGTTTCTAAACATTTTTTCTTTCATGTTTTACACTGAGATTTGAAACTCTGACAGGAGTGAAAGTCCCCTTCCCCTTCCCGCACCATCTGCTACCCCTGGGGCAGGCTATGGGGCAAGCGGAGGGCAGCAAACCCCCCCGCTGTCAGGCCACGTTTCTTACCAGCATCACCTTATGCTGGACTGGTGCAAACATGGAGCAGGGGAGAAAAGCTGCCTGGGCTGCTTCCAGCCAGGGGATCCCATTCACCCAGTCTGGGCTAAGCTGCCAGGTGTCTCAATTTCTACTGGAGGCTCCAGTTGCAAAGGGAAAGGGGCAGTGACCAGTTGGCACAAAACATCCAGGGACCTGCAGTAACCGGCCCTGCCCTGGGGGAAGAGCCGCAGCGCTGGGAGGGGCCAGTCGGTGCCGTGGGGTCACTGTCAGGGGCAGGGATTCCCTCCAGCCTGGGCTGGCACTGGGCAGATGGTCAGGGGAGCCGCGTTGGAGCCCCCGGCGTTGTTACCAGGACTGAAATAGGGGCGCAGCGTCCCGGAGAAGGTGCCGGTGAAGGTGCAGAGATGGGACCTGTCAGTCACATTGTAAAATGAGACCTTGCCTGCCTCATAGTCCAGGAAAATCCCCACCCGGCTGGGCCTGGTGCTCACAGAGAGGCGGGGTGAGGGGAAGGTGAGGGCCTTGTACCCCCCGTCCCTCAGTACCATGACCCAGTATCCATTCTTAGGTGTGCGTGTGATGTTCCCCTTCCTGCTCACAGATTCCCTGCAAACCCCCAGCTCCCAGCCTGTCTTGTCTCCCACCTCCACCTCCCAGTAATGCCTCCCGCCCATGAACCCCTCGGCGCCCAGCACACAGGGACAAGGATCAAATCTCTCAGGGGTGTCGGGCAGATCCTGGCGTGTGTCTCCGAGTCTCACACGTTTCCGATCCTCAGACAGGACGAGTTGGGGATGAGCCGTGTCTGGATCCAGCGTCACGTCCACTGGGGAGAGAGTCACAGAGTCAGGGCCGGGGGCTGGTCTCCGGGATCAATGGGAAATTAACCTTTATCCCCATTAATTGCTCTGCGGGGAGGGGGTGTTATTGTCTGAGGGGAGTCAGGGCCCCTCTGCGTGTGAGGGGACAATGAGGGGAAGGGCAGGAGGAATAGGGGAGGAGTGGGAAGCTGTCAGTGGGGGAGGTGGGAGGGGACTGTAATGCTGGGAGAGGAAAGGGGAGGGGCAGATGATGGGGTGGAGCGGAGGGAGCAACCATAGGGACAATGTGGGCCAAGAGGACAGAGATGGGCAAGGGAAGGGGTAGTTCCCAGGAGGTCTGGGGGGTTGGGTGATACAGGGATGGGGAAGGCACCAGGGCAGATGCGGGGAGAGGGAAGGTTTGATCCTCAGTGGGTAGGAAGGCGGGGGAAGGGTGGGTACCAGGGGGCTAGAGAGATACCAGGGGAGGGGTTAAAGGCAGAGGGCAGAGGAGGAGCAGATGGTTGGGTGATGGGGCAGATGCAAGGAGGGCAGAGGGAGGGGTGGGCACCTGGGGACAGAGGGGGAGGAAGGGAGCAGAGGAGCCCAGGGAGCAGAGGGGGAGGTTGGGGAAGGGCAGGCTCTAGGGAGGCAGAGGAGATGTGGGCACCAGTGCAGCAGAGATGAGCTGGGGTTTACACCACAGGACCCAAAGAGGGCCCAGGGAAGAGACACCAGGCAGGCAGAGGGGGGAGGAGATGTGGGCACCAGTGCAGCAGAGATGAGTTCTATGGTGAGGAAGACAGGATGTGAGATTGGGGACTGTGTGGTATTAATTGATGCAGGAGCAGGCAAGGAGGGGCCATGTCTTGATTACCAATGATATGCAGCTAGAAAGTTGAAAATTGCATGAATTAATGTTCAAAGAATGTTACAAAATTGTGTGAATCTAACAAGATTGGTTAATTCATTCTGTGGTTTTTTCACCTATGAGTGCTCAAAGGTGCAGTGCAGGTGGTGGTGGTGGGGGGGGTCTATAAGTCTTTACAGAGAGAGCCTGTCAAGGCAAGAGAGCGAGGGAGCAGCCGCACATATGTGTCACTGAACAGTGCAATAATTAATTGGGTTTTGGATAAATGTTTTGGATTTCTTGAAGTGCTGCAGCTGACATACAAAGGATGTACACAAATGTAAACACATCAAATGCTGATATTGATGTGAGGGAAGAATAAAGGTCAATAATTCTATTTCTAAGAATAGATTTTTTTATAAAAAGCTGCTGAAATGTAAAGGAAAAGGTTCTTGTGTGGACACCTTGTTATAACAACAGTTTCTAAACATTTTTTCTTTCATGTTTTACACTGAGATTTGAAACTCTGACAGGAGTGAAAGTCCCCTTCCCCTTCCCGCACCATCTGCTACCCCTGGGGCAGGCTATGGGGCAAGCGGAGGGCAGCAAACCCCCCCGCTGTCAGGCCACGTTTCTTACCAGCATCACCTTATGCTGGACTGGTGCAAACATGGAGCAGGGGAGAAAAGCTGCCTGGGCTGCTTCCAGCCAGGGGATCCCATTCACCCAGTCTGGGCTAAGCTGCCAGGTGTCTCAATTTCTACTGGAGGCTCCAGTTGCAAAGGGAAAGGGGCAGTGACCAGTTGGCACAAAACATCCAGGGACCTGCAGTAACCGGCCCTGCCCTGGGGGAAGAGCCGCAGCGCTGGGAGGGGCCAGTCGGTGCCGTGGGGTCACTGTCAGGGGCAGGGATTCCCTCCAGCCTGGGCTGGCACCGGGCAGATGGTCAGGGGAGCCGCGTTGGAGCCCCCGGCGTTGTTACCAGGACTGAAATAGGGGCGCAGCGTCCCGGAGAAGGTGCCGGTGAAGGTGCAGAGATGGGACCTGTCAGTCACATTGTAAAATGAGACCTTGCCTGCCTCATAGTCCAGGAAAATCCCCACCCGGCTGGGCCTGGTGCTCACAGAGAGGCGGGGTGAGGGGAAGGTGAGGGCCTTGTACCCCCCGTCCCTCAGTACCATGACCCAGTATCCATTCTTAGGTGTGCGTGTGACCCACCCCTTCCTGCTCACAGATTCCCTGCAAACCCCCAGGTCCCAGCCTGTCTTGTCTCCCACCTCCACCTCCCAGTAATGCCTCCCGCCCATGAACCCCTCGGCGCCCAGCACACAGGGACAAGGATCAAATCTCTCAGGGGTGTCGGGCAGATCCTGGCGTGTGTCTCCGAGTCTCACACGTTTCCGATCCTCAGACAGGACGAGTTGGGGATGAGCCGTGTCTGGATCCAGCGTCACGTCCACTGGGGAGAGAGTCACAGAGTCAGGGCCGGGGGCTGGTCTCCGGGATCAATGGGAAATTAACCTTTATCCCCATTAATTGCTCTGCGGGGAGGGGGTGTTATTGTCTGAGGGGAGTCAGGGCCCCTCTGCGTGTGAGGGGACAATGAGGGGAAGGGCAGGAGGAATAGGGGAGGAGTGGGAAGCTGTCAGTGGGGGAGGTGGGCGGGGACTTGTCTGAGGGGAGTCAGGGCCCCTCTGCGTGTGAGGGGACAATGAGGGGAAGGGCAGGAGGAATAGGGGAGGAGTGGGAAGCTGTCAGTGGGGGAGGTGGGAGGGGACTGTAATGCTGGGAGAGGAAAGGGGAGGGGCAGATGATGGGGTGGAGCGGAGGGAGCAACCATAGGGACAATGTGGGCCAAGAGGACAGAGATGGGCAAGGGAAGGGGTAGTTCCCAGGAGGTCTGGGGGGTTGGGTGATGGGGCAGATGCAAGGAGGGCAGAGGGAGGGGTGGGCACCTGGGGACAGAGGGGGAGGAAGGGAGCAGAGGAGCCCAGGGAGCAGAGGGGGAGGTTGGGGAAGGGCAGGCTCTAGGGAGGCAGAGGAGATGTGGGCACCAGTGCAGCAGAGATGAGCTGGGGTTTACACCACAGGACCCAAAGAGGGCCCAGGGAAGAGACACCAGGCAGGCAGAGGGGCAAAGGGAAGAGCAGGCACCAGGGGGGCAGATTCCCAGGAGCGCTGTGAGCGAGACACGAGGAGTCGTCCTTCCGCTCTGCTCTGCGCTGATCAGGCCTCAGCTGAAGTCTTGTGTCCAGTTCTGGGCCCCACATTTCAGGAGAGAGGTGGAGAAATTGGAGGGTCCAGAGAAGAGCAACAAGAACGATGAAAGGTCGAGAGAACATGAGCTAGGAGGGGAGGCTG